GACATGCAGAACTACTTGGTCTATGGCTTAGGACTGACAGAAGTCGAGTTGGACATCTTAACTGGCAATCATTTAATTAGGCGCGTGGATATTCTGGAAGACGCTGGTGAAAGTCTGAGTCCTTACGTTGATGTTGGCCAAGTCGAAGGCGCATTTGTCATGCTGCTGGGCTATTGGCTAACCGAGCATTTGGTGTATGACCGGCAAACTGGCCAGTTGTTGACTAATCGCACGTGGAATTACAAACCGCCCGGCGCCAAGGATATACCCATCGATTTTCGCATCGAGCTGCTGCAGAAGAACCCCAACCCAGCTGGATTCATGCGCTCAAAGGCTACGGGGGAGCCGCCTGCCTGTATGGCAGTGAGTTCGATTTTCGCCGTGCAGCATGCCCTGCAATCGGCGCGCCAAGACGCTGGACTGCCGCGTGAATGGGTGCGGCTTGGCGCACCAACAACGCCAGAGATAATCGCTTTGAATGCCGGCACTGATACGAGCACATTTTCTTTGGAATAGCCAGTAGATTTAAGTCATTACAGTTATTTTGTACGAGAGCCTTGCTTACGGTATTCTTAGAGGGGTTGGTTTGCTGCATAATCAAGTGTAAATACTCAAATATATATTTAGTTAAATAAGATGCTGAAGAGCGTTTTAGTGGGCGCTGTCTTTAACTACAGCTACTCTACAGACACCTTTCTGCGGCAATGCTTAACTTTTCCACCACGCAAAATTTAATGCTCAAGCATTGTAAATATTTGGCAGTTCCTTAATTTGATTACGTCTATGTATTTGTTTTGTATTTTCTTACAGCTGGGAGTGCGATACTTTCACAATGTTTCGCCTTTTCCAGTCTACTTTTTGTCCCTTTCCAATTATGTATTATGCTTGAGCATGTGTGTAATCTTAATTGTTGAGACGTTTTTGCGTGTCTGCCGGAAATTAAGGGAGCGTTTCTTGTTAAACAACTCATTACAATTAATTAGTGATACCACATAAAACCGAAATGGTGATAGTGCTATTGACACCGATGTGAATGCATGTAAGGTCGCAATGGTCGTAAGTGTCAAGGCGGTGTAATTGGCAGAAATAAAAATTACACTTATTGATATGTAAACAACTAAACTACAAATGGGACTATATGTGCATATCTGAGTCCTTTTTTCGCCTAAAGAGCATGAGGACTCGTTAGGGCAATTTATTTGAAACAAAATCGAAAGAACGTCTGTGGTTACAAGGGCTTGAGGCGGAGGTTCGAAAACATTCTGCAGGAATGCAGGGGGTCTTTAGCCTCATCCTTGCGAAAGCACAGGAAGTATTCAACTGTCTCTTTTGATCCAGGGTCATCGCAACTACGACAGAGCCCTTTGAGGGGTAATCCACCTTTCGACATGTACCCCAACGGACCAGTGGCCTATGTATACTGTATTAAGTTTGTAGGTATCTTTTTTGCTAATTCCTAAGAGAGCTTTGGTTTTAAGAGGGTCGTAGGACACCCAGAACTGTCGGGCAATCCTTTACGATTCCACCTTGATGCATTTATCTCCCTGAGGGAGGCACCAATATCCACCGCGTCGGACGCAATCAGTGCGCAACCGCACCTTAGGGTAATTAGGGTAATTTCGTATTGATAGAAAAATGCTTTTGAGGTGAAACTTCTTCGCGTTCGGTTGGGACAAAATGCAAACATCCATGTCTCGAAAACGCGACACACTTGTTGGATTGAAATTTCAAACTACAATGAAACAAAAAATAGGATTGGGCATATTATTGAGATTAAGATTCTATTGAGATTCAGATTGAAGTTGGGTCTATGATTATGATTAAGATTAAGAAAATAGGAAGAAATTTCATACACTAATTTTTTCTTAACAGATCGACAGGCAATGGCAAACCTAAAAGTGTATTTTTTGCTAAAATAGCTTCTCATAAAAAATCATTTTCCATCCAGAGGCAGCGTAAGATTGTAGATCCCTGCATTTGTATTATAGATGCATAAATTGGAACAGAATTTCGACCAAACACTTAGCAAAAGTCTAAGTGCCAAAATATTACTAAACCACACCTAATTCGGCTGGACTATCAATCATTGTCGTCAAGCTCTACTAACGGTAGGCCCAAGAAGCGCGCAGTTTCGACGAGTTCAGGCCAAAAGGAAACGTGCTTTAGCTGTCGGACACCTTCACCATGCGGACATATGTATGTTGGGTATGTCGAGTCTGGACTAGTAGAAGTTAAGACTGCTACAATGTCTAGGACTTAGTTTCGCCAGAGCTACGAGGACACCTCAAATCAGCTGAAGCTCCTTCTCAGCCATGCTTGGTGGTAGTGTGAGGCTCTTATTGAATACCACACCCGGTTACGTTATGATTAAGGTTGCTGGATGATTAAGAAGGGCCTGTTCGAGGCAGGTAACAAAAGCGCAATACTTCAGCGCTGATGAAACTGTTGCAAAACTGTTGCAACTTTCCAATTGATAAAACGTTGCTAAAAATTCACGCTGGACGAGATACTTCATTAAATAATTCGCGCAACAATGTGGTTGCGATTGAGACTAATAATTCAAACAAAAGGTTAAACAAGCACTCTTTAACGATACCAACATTGAAAAATAAAAACAATTTTTATGCAAGCCACCTGTACGCTTAAAACCCCTAGAGCAGCTGGCTGAAAGGCACCGCTCCCTTTACCCATAGCCACATGGCAAGCGACCCAAAAAAGGAGAACAGCGAAGCAACGAAACGTAAAAGTCGATCAGGAAAAAGTGAAAGGAAACCATGAGGGAGCGCATGATGACTGCAGCAGATGCATAAAACTTTTCCCATTATTATGTACCGCAAACTTTATGTTGCACAACAACGCATCGGTAACAGAACAGAAGCACCGCTGCAGCAAACTCTAAACTCTCAACTCAAGCGCGCTCGGCGCAACTTGCGCTGGATTTCTCCCGCTTCGCCGCGCAAAGTTGATTTCTTTAACAACATAATATTTTTCATTTTGTTTTTGTCTTTGCTTGATTTTATTTGCCCCTCTTCTGATCTTTTACTGCGCGCGCATTTGCACACTTCGACACTTCGACTTCGTGTTGGCAAACTTGGAGGGAGCGTTGCCGTGTAATGATTGCGGCACATTACTTATTTTAGTGGCGGCTGCAACAACAACTACTACGATTGCGATTGCGATTGCGATGCGACTGCACGCAACAGCTGACTTTCATATTTTTATAGCATTTTGCATTTCGCATTTAAAGGGGTGATATGCTTTTTTTTCGTTTTCTTTTGGTGGCAACTTCAATCACCACACCAAGGCAAGCGCGGAACTTTTCAACGCGCACCGGCATCAGTAACAGCAACTAGCGGCCATCAACTGTCAGCAGCGCATTTTAGGCAATAACCCAAACCGCGCTGAATGCAACCTCGGTCCGTTTTGTCCTGTGGGACTTCGTCGGGTGCTGGCAAGCAGATGCTGCTCGTTCAGCGAAGTTTTTAATGTTGCTTATGAACATTTTACTTGGGAATCACTTTTGTGGCAGTTGTTTTTATTGTAGTTGTTGCTGATGCATTTCTTAGCAGTTGCTGCCTGCCCGTTTGTGTGACTCAACACGTTTATACCGAGTATGGAGTTCTTTAAGTTTTTGTATTCTTCCAAAAGTTTTTATGTTTATGGGTTTCTTTGATTTTGTTGCTGTTTTTTTTTTTTGTTTTTAATAGTCTCTATCGTTTTTAATTACTCGCTAACTGTTTGGTAGTAGATATAATAAATATTCGGTTTGCTGTTAAACCGGTATTTTTATGAGCGCTATAAATTTGCTTCTTAGCACACAATGCACACTTATCACACACTTCAATGGATTGCTGATTTACATATACTATACCCATTAAGCAGTGTTTATTTCAAATACCATGTTTCGATTGTAGTAAAACCTATTATAAAACAATAAAGCTTCTAAAATACAAATTAGGTTAGATATCAAATGCTCCATTCCACGGTGATAGGTGTAGCATTCGAGCTCACATTTTAATGTTCATTCTTTATGTTTATTGAAAATTCTTTCAACAAATTCGGATGTATGTAGTATTTAATGACAAAGCTTGCATTATTGGCATACCTTAAAGTGCGTTTACATATAGATATAATCTCAATCAAAGCTTGTGGGCTAATCACCCCGTTTATATAGTCAAATCTCGGTCTTTGTTTTTTATCTCACAACTCTCTTGTTTGTGCTAAATTTAGGAATTCAAATATATTTTAAGTTATCATTTTACTAAAAACTTGAAATTCGACCACTCAAATTAAGGGGATTTGAGGTAAGTTGAGTTGAGTTAGGCTGAAGTGAGTTCAGTTCAGATAAATTAAGTTGGGTTAGAGCGAGATGAGTTGGTGTGAGATATGGTGAGTTGAGGTGAAATAAAATTAGTTCGGTTGAGTTGAATGGAGGAGAGTAAAAATGAAGTGATGTTAATTAAATTGAGATGAAATGAGCTGAGTTGGGGTTGATGTTATTTAAGGTGAGTTGAGGTGAACTGAGGAGTTGATGTGAGGTTAGTTGAGGTGAGTTGGGGAAAATTGAGATGGTTTGATGGGAGCTGTGGTGAGTTGAGGTGAAATTCGATGGGGAACAGAACAAAGCATAACATAGCACAACATAACATAACATACCTCATTCTTCAGTTTAATCTATTTCTTTGTCTCTATATTTATTTCTGTTGCATACTAATTAATTACGACTACGACAAATTACCTTCAGGTACACCCCCATCAGTGAACAAATTTCAATAACCCACTTTGGCATCAGCATTAACACCATCCATTATGTCAGGCTGCAAATTTTCTGCTCAATATGTGCTCCTACGAACCCGGTAGGCAATTGAAAAGCGGAAGCCCTGACGACTTGCCCGCTCTCGTATCAATGGCGCAGGGGGATGCCAAACAAAGAAAAGAAGATTGTGGGGGCTTTCGAGAAAAATATTCTTTTTACGTAAGCTCTATGGATTTATTCTCGTGGGCAACGCATAACGAAGAAGATGGGATGTTGAACTGATTGAACTTTTTTACAAAATTAACACGCTTTGAGTATAGACTTCAATATCAAGTATTTCAATTTCAGCAAGAACCCAAAGAGTTAAATTGTCTACAAAGACAAGCGTTGTCATAAAATAAATTTAATTGAAGCCTACACTTCAAACGGGTGTGTTCATGCAAATTACGAAATCATATTAATTTAACCCATTTCTCATTTTTATATTAAAGCTCACTGAATTTCATATTCACACTTTTAGGTCACGATACATAACGCAGCCTACTTGCGGTTGCAACCACTGCCAGCCAATACCAACGGTGTTGTTCGACACCCCGACAGAAACTAGCACTTTTTTGGTTTCTTTACATCAGCGTTGTTTTCCTACCACTTTGTTAGAATTTTCACGCACCTTCATATCACTACTTATGCATGTACCTATTTATGTACATACATATACACGACCTACATAAATATGTACATCTCTATCATCTTCCTGCCAGTC